CATTAATGAAGCGTGCGTTCGAAGTACGGGCCAACTCCGACCCAAACCAGTATAAGAACCGTTTGCTACAACGCCTAGTTCTACACATCTAGTTCATTTACGGGATTAGCTCGGCCATTGTAACATTGCATTCAAGAGAACTATTATCACAATATTAACTTAACATACAATGACTGGTGTAAAACAAATATATAGGCTGTCCATAAAGTCCTGAATTTTTTTTTAAATTGCAAAGGGAATTTATCGATACCATATATATATATTGTTTTGGCACTCACATATGTAATAAATGAAGTAAAAATAGTTTAACAATTATGATTGAAAAACAACATACCCTGGTTAAGATATATTTAGAACTGACTTTATATCAAAATTGAAATTGTGAAGGGATTTCATGCACACCCTGTATAGTATAAAATAAAGTTTTTAAATACTTAAAGGTTTTATTGGACAGAATTATAAACTCACAAAGCGAAGTTTTTATCTGATCATGTCGCAATGCCAGTTAGTTACATCCGCAAGTACGATAAACACGTATGATTTTAATTTGAAACTTCTGTCGATGTAGATTCTTCGACAATATATCTATATTGAATGATTATACAATCAAAGTAAAATTTACAAACTTCTTTCGCAGTTAATTGAACGAAATTACAATGCCGGTGATCTACTTAAAAAACGTGTGCCCGACAAGTGCATTGATCGTATGTATAGGTAATTATCGCTTCCTTCGTGGAATAATATATAATTGCGGAATCAGCCATTCTATAGATTACTAATTAAGGTTTTTCTCTTTTCTCGGCTTAACGTCGTTGCCGCGGGCATGTTACAACATCCGCGATCTGACTGATTTGCAAGAAAGATAAAAATTATATCCAACGACAATTTCTTTTGTTTATTTTTGAATTTTTAAATCTCTGGCCTAGAAATCGTTGTCTCATTTTGTATAAACATTCGTGTTAGAGTTGGCGCATTATTCTAAACCGCACTACCGTTAATTTAAACCGCATCAGAGCAATCAACAGTCTAATCTCAACTCAAAAAGCATATAATTTAAGAATTGAAACTTGTATTGTAATTTTAGCACCCGGCGTCGAATATCGAATTTGCTGCTTTAGACCAATAAATTATACAGTACCGTGCGTCGAATGCAAATACTGCAGCGTATGACTAATTCGTTATTATCGATTGTGTGGATCTATCAACAAGAAACATCTTTACACATAAAACTAACCCTGTTTCATTGAGAATGGTTCAATATAATAGTGGCAAGTTTTACCAAATATAAACACTAAATTTAGCACCCCACAAGTGTGTACCAATATGGAGGTAACTAATTTTTTTGGAATTCTTTACATCAAGTTGTGTGAAGGGACGGAAGCCTATGGGCGAAGGGGTATATTCACTTGGTTAACACAAACACTCCCCGAACTCGTAACAGAACTAAAATAAGGAAAATAGGAATCAAATTATGTCCTAACCCTAACCTGGTACACATCTACGGAGTACCCTAAATTTTGCCAATAGCTCAAATAAAAAACACTCAAATTTTTGAAGGGGGAATCGTACATGTAATTAGAGAATTAACGATACATTGTATAAATATTTCGAGCCATCCTCAATTGTCCAAAATAAATCCAAGTGCTGAATTATGCCAAGTGTCAAAATAAGAAAATGAACAAGTTTTTAAAATGGCATTGTACCTGTAAATTGTAAATTATCGAGATGTACCATAAACTTCCGTAATTTTATAAGTAAAAGTCGAAACAAGGCTTTATCCCCGTTTTTTAATAAAGTAGCAGCTTTAACCATCGACGAAAATAAAATTCTAGGAACGAGACTTTGAATGGTATTAATTATTCATTCGTCTATTTCGAATTATTCAGTATCGATCAAAATTTACGTTTAAATGAAGACAGTGTTATAGTAATAAAAGTACTTTTCTATGCGATCGAGTATAGCGATTGGATAATTATGCCGTCTTATCCGCTACCCATGTCTGGTGTGTTGGAAAGGAACGGTATTTATAAACCTTTCAATTCACGCTTGATAGATCGCAGTGAATTTTTTGGTTGAACGAATGCGCCCTAAAACCTCGCAAGAGATTTTTCAAATGGGTGGCTTATTTCCTCACGGCCTTCGCAAAAATTAACATGGCAAAGTGTGTAAAGGGCGACATTTAATTAAATAGATTATGAGCATATAATCGGAACCAGGTGACACAAGACTTTGGGTCGGAGTAATCGGATTTTCAACAAAATTCACTTTTTGTCTTCGTTTTTGGCGATGTGCGTAACACAGACAATATTTCATCAAGTCTTTTTTTTATGTTAACCCTTTCAGTGCTATAGGACAAGGTAAATATTAACTACTTTAAAACAACAATATATATCAAAATCACAAAACTAATGAGTTTTGGCTGCTACGGCTTCCCTTCTTGCAGTGAAAATGTGTTTTTTGTTTGTTTGCAATATGGTATTTTTCGATAAGGGACTTTATATATGCGTTGCTATTTTCTATTTGGTGATAAGCAAATTACTGACGGGTAGCTTGATATTTCACTTTTTACCTTCGTTTTTAGCGATGGAATACAACATTTCGCCAAATAGGGTTTTCGTATCGTTTTGGTGAAATAGTTCAAAGTGGAGACCAAGTAAAAACAATATATAAAAAAGTAACCTAACTTTTTTAATTTAAGTTTCGGCTGATCGATGTCATTGACCGGTAACAGATTCTGTTTTCCCACGGTTCACATTTTTATTGAAAATGGGATTTTATCTCGCCGAATATACAGTGTGTTCATAACGTCATGCTACATTTCCAATTTTATTATGAAGCCAGTTACAATATATCTTAACAAGGTTTGTTTTATTTTAATCGGTGTTTTTTTCTCTCCATTCAATACCCATTAATATGCCCAACATTAGTTGCGCTAAGCGCATTAAAGCTATTTTACCTAATGAGCACCCTCTGATATATCTGTCTTGTCTTATTTCCCGTTTGGCCATAGAACAAATTACAGATTACTGAATGAATGTAGCTCATGAAACCCCCGATGGCATTGTATATATCTATAAGTTACCATTGCATAGACTTCAATTCCTTGGGAGGCAGAACTTTATATCGTTAGCCAAGCTAACAATAGCTTGACTCATGCACGTTTCGATGGCATTGTCTGATGAACAAAGCAACGATCAAAACACATGCATGTGGGTGTACCGGTATAATTTCCGTCATATAATATGGAACATGAGTTTGATTCAACAGCAGTTTCGGTTTGACACTTATATTCAAAACAATTTTACCCATTCATTTATGAAAATTCCTGTTCTTTATTTAGAAATTAAACAAATTTGCGACTGGGAATTTCCAAGTGAACGTCCCTGATTTCCTATTTTCGCTTGCGCGGTGACGTAGGCTACGGAAGCAAGGTACAGTCTTTCATTTGCTGCAGTGTAAACTTAAATACTAAAACCTTGATTTAAAGAAAGATCTCGAAATTAAGATAATAATAATCTAGTCTAGATTAAGGTCATCGAATACGTCGGCTGGTCTATTAACGCTATCTATGAGGATATTCCCATATCACGTAAGCAATCAGACGCGCCGTTTCAGCTGAAGATAGATAGTTAATTAAAATGCGCCTATGACATCATTTTCTTTATGAATCACAATCACTATCACGTTTTGCGTGAATACGCACGATTGGCTCAGGGGTTTCACTTCGCTGACGTCCCTATCAGCAGTTTAATGAAAGCCACGAATAGCACGGAATTTACTCTTTCAAAAATAAAAATAGCAACAGTATTATCCGGAAGTCAGATATTAATATCCAACGTATTCGATCGCATTATACAGTGTTCATAAAGTCTTGAATTTTTTTTTTAAATTGCGAAATAAATTTATCGTTACCATATATTTAGTTTGTTGGCTCCCATAGGTAAATTGAATTAAGTAAAAATTTAAATGAAACGAACCTAGATATACTGAAAAAGTTTTTTCATAGAAAAATTGGAAATATAACGGGACTTTATGAACACCATGCAGATTTGGGTTACAGTAAATATCGTTTGGCGCGAAAGGACAAGCACAATCCAGAGCAAACAGTTACATTCTATGGCGTCATATGACCAAAATGAAATGTAAGAACCGGTGCCATATCGGTTTTCTGTTGCCGTCAGTTTTCTCGAACGACTGCTTTTAAACAGTCATTATGAGTCACGTCCCCGTGTAAGCATGCTTATGACACGTAGGTGGCAATCGTTTCAAGCAGGCATGAATATACATATGCAACTCACATGAATCTGTTCGCACAAGGAATAGTCCGAAATGCGTATATACCATCGTTACATTTCATACTATTCCCAAGGAAATTGACAGAACAATGACTATCTGAAATGGGAAAGGAATATTCTGTCTATTCCACTCCCTTCTAAGCTAAGATGTGATTTTACTACCAGAACATGGACGCCATTACTTTCCCCACGTTCGCCAAAGTAAACATACATACGTGGGTACTACAGATCTGCTGGCCAGTCCGCGGTCAGCTGATTAGACTGGACGTGACAATTATCACCGGTTGCCAGACAGTTCAACCAAATGACAGACTGGCGAAATATTCCAGAAAGGAAGCCCAAGTTCAAATGCAGCACGCTTAGAAACCCCGAATCATTCTGGTCTTCAACCTGGCAAAAACACCCACTGGTTGGCCGAGGTTGAACCATACGTGACGAATGTCACCGGTGACATTGAGTCAGTTACACCCAATGACTGGATTGCGATAAAACCCCCAGAAAAACTGCCGAAGCTCAGATACAGCATCTGTCGGCCAGCACGGCGTATTGATTGGTCTCCCAGACCATTCTCAACCACCAAGCCAGACTTTGAACAACGACTCCTCAAACCCAGTCGACCCTTACTTGCTGTGAACTCTAACCTAAACCCGTCGACCTATAGTTACTCTGAACCTAAATCAGACATTACAAACTGTAACCAATGAGTAACTTAATTCATAATTTAATGGCAAATAGTTTCGTAAATAAAACGGTTAAATAGGAATAGCAACAACGGAAAGAAATAAGAAAAAGTTGAACACTCAAAAGACATTAGCCTAGGTGTGAGTTGGTCTAACGCAAGCTTATTTTAATACGGTTTACCGTCAAGAAATATTGCACTAAAATCATAAGGCAGAGCACAAAAGCAATACCTGCCCGAAGTTTAATAGTAATTTCATGGGGTGAAAACAGGCACATACATTTTAAAAACAGTGAATCCCATGCACTACTCTCAGAAGGGATCGCATAAATAAAACCAAATTTACACTGGAAAACCTATCCCGTGGCTCGCCATCCTTGAAAATAAAATCGTCTGGGCAGGCCAAATACCGCAGACCCTCACTGCATACCGGAACGCGGCGAAATCTTGTGTGCAAATATGGCATGGTGCATCGCCTTCGAAGGCGACAGTACTGAACAGTGGATGCATACATGGACTGTCAGCACCATAAGTTTTCGGAACACTTGCATGAATATTCCCACGACGAACTATCGGTACATGATGTATCGCTTTACGGCGTTTGGTAAAGGCAAATCGTCAACTTTATGAAGGTTTGGTTTACCGAGAGACATTCTCACACGTCTTCTGCAGAGTTCAGCAAGAGGCAATGGTGCAGCTGTGAAAAAGAAACAGCGTTTTAGTGAAGGGCAATCGAAGGCATTCGGGTTCACTTTCGATCGACTAGTCTTGTAAAACAGCACTTAAATAGAGTTTCAGTATTTCCATTCAGATAATACAAAGGAATATCAAGACCAAAATTGACCGAATTCAAACTAATGACTATATTAACTAGGCATAACAGGAATATCACAGAGAAAATACTTACGATCTAAGCTGTTGATGTATTTGATTCCGACTTCACAGTGGCCCCAGACGCAACTGATGACAGGGTACAATGTTTTGCCTTTCAAGCCAGAGAAAGCAATGCCAAGATATTGTCCATCAGCGACGTAACTTAGGGTACCTTCGTCCATATCCAAAACGACAAGGATCTTCTCTGGAACGACGAAGTTTTCGTCAGCGTCCAAGAAAGTGGGATAAACTTTGCTGCCGCCAGCTTTTTCGTCCCGGTGATGTTTGCCGCCGTGGTATAACTTGTTGCGGCCTAAGTCCCAACCCCAGGAGTTTTCGTTAGATCCAATTAGTGATCGATATCCTACGCATGTCAAAGGGGCATCAGCAGTGGCGACCCCAACGACAGCGTGCGTGCCACGTTGCCTCGTGTTCCACGAAACTTCCCAGCAATGAAGTCCCCGGGAAAACCCGATCTTGCCTCTAACACCATCTGTAGATTGGGCAACTGGGTGCCTGTGCATAGTTAAATCGTCGTCTTTAACGAATACATTGATGCTTTTATCTTCCGAATTCCATCCATTTTTAAGCTGGTCTTCTTTATTTGCAGGTGGCATATCCAAAAGAACGTCTAACCTGATAAAAGAGAAACAATTTAATTTGGGTCCATTACAAATAGCCTGAAACCATTGCGCAAGGATGCAGCCACATTTTGATTTATTTCACCGGGTAGACAATTTAAATCAACGAGGCAAACATTAACACATACAAGAATGAATACCAAAGAATTTAAGTTTTTAATACACTTACCTATGCGGACATTCTGGTTCTACACCAGACGCAGAGAGATGATTTCCATTGCAATGTCTATGATGGTTTCTTCGGTGAGGATCACGGTGACTATGACGTCTGCCATTGTGCTTTGGTGCGGAATCTGAACGTCTATTTGATCGTGCAGTTGATCCACCATGGCTGCCGCCACTAGAATGATGTCGGGATGCCGATCGTGATATTATCGGTTCAATAAATGCCAATTGTCGCAGTGGTGATCTGCCATCGCTCGAAGATATTTTCTGACCCATAGTGTTTTTAGTAAAGCTACGCTCTCGAACCTTTTGTCGATGATTTATTATTAAAATTATGCGTAAATAAGCAAAGAGTTCTGTAAAAATAAATGATATAAGAGTTAACAACGCTCTACCACAATTGCGGAAATGGTGACGTCGCGTCCGCTAAACAGTCGACTGGCCGTTTGCGGAACACACATGCCTGTTTAATTACCACCCAAGGGGAAATTATAAACGGTTAATTAGTTTTATTACAACCCGGCAATCATCCAATAACCTTATTATTTCGTTCACGGACATATGCGGTAAACTAGCTCACTGTGGGCGGCAGAGAAAATTTGAAATGCGACAGATGTGCCGCGACAAACCGCTTTGAAACCAACGTAACTAGAAATTATCGGGGACACGTCGAAAACAAAGCCGAGCCTCCAGCAAATGCCGCCAACATGAGTGGCCAGAGATTGTTAGAGTGCTGGGTGTAACGCAGTACCGGCCCACAGCTTGTACAATAATAGAATTCGTAAGACGTAAGACAGTTGCCAATTCAGTCTTATTGGGCAATCGAAATTAAACTCTACTGTAACGCTGTCAGGACACTGATAGCGGATTATAAGTTCGCGACAGGCCGCGAATGGCTTGAATATATGTCGAGATAGACTATTCATTCACAAGCTCGCCATTCATGAGGTTTTACTACGCTTGCTCTAGAGCAGACGTAAACATAACACATCGACAACGCCTCGCCAGTCGTGCGGCTGAAGTTTTCCGCTGAGCGCTGTAATTTTCCATTACGCAGTGGTGTTTAGGTTTACAGCGCGTCGTTTAGTTTAAGAACGCCCGATGTTTTAAGAAAATTATGGGTTTCGGCTGAAATAAGCAATTTGAAATTTTAATTCCATGTTAGAATGATACTCTCTATAAGAGAATTGTTCACCACAGCTTAGTAATTCAGCAAATTAATTCGAAACAATTTAGTAAAGTTAGATATCGTTTGACGCCAGTTAGATATTGTTCCATGAAAACCCGATAAGTTACATTTCAAACTTTCCCATTACATGGCTTCGGTACAACACGAAGGTGATTTTTTTGGTTAACTTGTCGTGACTTCTGTAGTAGGTACGTAGTCTACTATAGCTCGCAAGCTTAAAAGTCCCTTGCGCAGCCGTTTGAAATCCGTGTGCCGATGGCTTCATTATATTACGCTCCAGATAGAAGAATAGTATTGTACAGCATTGTGACCCTCGTCGATTCACTTGCTTATAGCTTATACCAAATAACCTAGTAACTAGAATTTCCAGTCTAAGAAGTTAAGCATCGCAAAGATACAACAAAACATGCTAAATATCTCCAAAACAGCGGTCTATGCGTTCTTCCAAGTGACTAGAAACCACCACTCATAACGATTTCAAACAGCTGACATCCTTTTAGAATGAAGAAGATACCATTTGTGATATCAGAAATACCAAACACGAACACACACCACCGAACGGCCACGTTGTCAAGCACTAATGACTGCCCCGTATCAGACACGTCTGAATTATATACTAGATGTAATTTTCCATTGCGTCAATTCTTGCGAATAATGCTCTCAATAAAGAGAATAAAAGAGAACGAGCAGAGTGAGAGAACGGCAGCATCGATTTTCGAATCTACGCGGGAGAGGAAAATATAATAAAAAGAGAGAAGCGATTATGACGTCGATTTAAGAGTGGGAGACAATTTTTCACGGAATAATAAAACGTCTGGCGGGCATAATCTCTGTATTTGCGAAATAATTCCTCAGAATTAATGATTTCGCCGACTCTGCTGCCTCGCCGTTTCGTAAACATTTCTCACAGCAGCTTGAAGATAAACAACAAACGTTGGGGATTATTATTCAGCCTAGTTTGATTCCTTTAATAAGGAAATACAAGCACTGCATCAACGTTCTCCAAAACAGATTACGGCAAAGTCAAAGAGGTCCGAAACTTGTGATGTTTTTAGAAGTCGATCAATACAAATTGGCCATATTAGCTTCTTTTTGATGTTTATTGCTAAATGTGCTTACTAAAGCTAACGTTTGAAAATATTAACTGTTTTAATTACTTTATTTTCACGGGTAAAGGCTTATGTCGTCACAATAATTAGATTGTTTGAAGTTTATGACGGCACAAGCGAGTTTGTGGGATTTGCAACGCGTGTTGTTGTTTGTTGTTCAGCACATGCACCGTTTTGCGACGGCAATAAACAATATAAGGAGACTGATTTAATAGATTAATATTACCTTAATATTGCTCGTAAACGCTCTTGCGTTGTTTACTGTGTCTACTGGACTGATGAGTGATGACCGTGCTAAAACCAACTGAATTTTCTCAACTTGGCACTCATATCCTTAAGTCTAGCATCTACCGCTTGCAAGTAGGATACGTTCCGTTCCTATGTTAATAACTGGTAGATTACATGACTGTACGGTAGTTCCGTGTTTGAGTAACGGGAATTCGGTTGAAAGAGTACCTAGAATTCAACCGGAGACGGATATGCATAAACGGTTAGGGACAATTACCGGTACGCACATTTTCGTTCCGTAGGCTTTCATAAAGCACAAGTTCATCGCATCGAAAATTAACACGTAATGACTGCTTTGTCAACTTTAAAAATCATTTATAAAATATTCTTCCTGTGTCTGCTGGCGTCGTCCTCGCTTTTATGCAACTCAAATCCTCGGTAAAGGTTGGGCACTGTTATAAATATTGCAGGGTCCGACCCCTCATGTGGATTTATTCATTTACTCATCGATAGGATAGGATTTACATGTTTATCCCAGGGGAGCGGAAAGCCGATAATACGGTGTATCATATGTCGAACAATGGCATCTTGTCCGGTTACCAGTCTATGCCGGTATGGGATTAGTTAGCCAGTCATTTGTTTTCGGAAGCATGGACTTTATGTTTAATAGCCTGCGTGCTTCCATCAGACAAATCAAAGATCTGTGGTACTGTTAGGTTCCGTGTACATACTCCTTCCTCATATTAAATATTTCAAGTCAACTCAATTCATCAGCATTATTGAAACTATTTTTAGAGTTTATTGGTCATGAGTCACATACTTCTTAACTAATACTTGCGTTTCCAAAAGCCGAATGTCTGCTCGCATGCAAGTAGAAAGCGAGGGGGAACCTCACAGGCAATAATTTTAATCATTCGTATAAAAACCTGGTAAATCAATTTGAAAACGTTGCATGACTTCGAGAAACATGTCGATGACGTCTTAAATCGTGCTTTGTTATGCGTGTCATATTAATTGACATGTTTCATTAACTCTTTTGATCCGTATAACATATATATTCGTACTACCATCCTTGGTCATAATAGTTATTTTCGGACTATTTTACGTTTATGTTCATGTTTTGTGAAGTATTCCGCACTAACTAAATCATTTTGAGCATCCAACTATGATCCGTGCTTGATCTGTCAACATTTTGTTTTTTTGTAAATTTTTTATTTTACTACTAAGTGAATTTTATTTGTGTAGGTATTTCAAAGCTTAGAGATACACGAAAGTATTTGTCATTACTTCAAAAATAAGTCATTTGAACGAGCGGGAAACAATTTCGCGCACATAATAAACAAACAAAGATTCCAGACAACTATCGTGGACATGCTCTCACATATCATTGATTATTTCGCGTTTCGCTTCGCTTGCGAAGCTGAGTCTGGTTTTTCTTCAAAGGTGACGTAACTCTCTTTCAGAAGAGCGCTTGGAATTTCGTTTCTTTGTAACACGTGTTCATCGAAGCGATAAGAGTGTGAAACGTTCTCTCAAAAATTTTTGAAATTTCTCTCTTCTTGCACGCGTAGGGTCGAACGGTTTCGCCTACGTCACTTGGGCGCGTTTTAGTAGGAAGACGCGAAAATAAGCTTTTCAAAGAGATATTGGGGGTGTTCCTTGTACGTTTGGTTAACTGGTCATTACATATTATAAAATGGTACATAAAGTCGATTGTATACAGCGGAAAAAAAGGGTTAATGTCTTGGATTGTGACTGAACAATTTATCAGAAATTATGTGACAAATTGGCGAGGATTTGATTTATTTTGAAATTATTACAATGTAGCTGATACAAATCACAAAATACAAAAGCCAAGGGTACTGCCGTAGTGTGTGCTCCAGGTTAGGGTTAGGGCATAATTTTATTCCGATTTTCCTTATTTTGGTTCTATTACGAGTTCGGGGACTGTCTGTGTTAACCAAGTGAATATCCCCCCTGCCCATAGGTTTCAGTCCCTTTACACAACTTGATGTAAAGTAGGCGAACAAAATTAGTTACCTCCATATTGGTACACACACTTCTGGAGCGCCAAATCTTTCATGTGTCACCTGTAAAAGTCGGGTAAATTTCCATACCAGGCCGTAAACTTGGGAATGTGAACCTAACAAACAAATAAACCATAAATTTTATTATGAAGTACATGTGTATGTACACATAGAGACTGTTTGCACCATGATGAAGCGAGGTAGAATGTAGGTATAGTTCAAACAAACAACTGAAAAATATTTGCACCTTTGTGTACAGCAATCTAACTAACGACACACCCATTTCTATTTTGTACTAGGCGAAGAACAATTTTTAGCTTAGTAAAAGGAAAAATTTGTTGCTATTTTTAAATAAATAAATTTATAAATTGTTTAGGAAAAGGGATATGTCACTATAGCCTATATAGGCTCTCAAATCAGCGTTTCACTAGTGGACAAAGGGCTGCATGTGGTTCTACTCTTGATCAAAATTGTTCGCTACCATTAACCCGCATCGTAGGTCTTTTCATCCTATGGTACCCTGCTGTAAACTGGCTCTCAAAGTAAAAAAAAGTGCCAAGCTTGTTTACTAGTACCACGTTGTTTTTCGAATTACTCGGCACAGTGGCTCAATTACTGAATTTAATAGTTTATTCCGAACCCTATAGAATACTAAATTCCATTCGCAACTTTGAATGGAATGATCGGAAACATTGACACCTCACGTAATTTACGTCAAAGCAGAAATGACCATAAAACTTTATCGTTTCCAAAGTCTGGATCAACAAAGCATAAAAACTACCATTGTTCGGAAACGGAAAGCATTAAATTCTACTAAG